AAGCCGACTTGCCAACATGTGTACTTAAAATTAATATAGTTGTGAGTAGGAGAGTTTTAACTTGTCCTATTTATCATGTTTTGGGACCTTATTGTGTGAGCTAGGATTTATACTTATGGTTTGTAAATTAATAATACACTTAGGACGACTCTAAATAAATAAATATGGGTGTGGTTAGTAGTAGTAAATTTGGTTTTATTGATGAAATAAATGGTTAGTTAAATTAATTGGATCAATGGATAGGTAAATTAAATAAGAAATTAAACTTAGAACTTAATAATTGAAGGATTTTATGATTTAATTGACCTAAAGGCAATGACTAATTAATTGGTATGAAATAATCAAGTTTAATTGGTAGGAAAACAAAATATTTTAATAGATATAGATTAATTGAATTTAATCAATGTGGATTAATTGAATTGATGTTTTTAATAAATACAGACCTCCATAGACTTAACACTTTATTTGGTTTTCAATGAGCTAAATAAAGAAATTTGATTCCAGCAAATTAATTGAACTTTTAATCTTAAGGGTTCCTATTAAATTCGAAATTTTGCATCACTTAAGGATAGAGTTTTTTATCAAATGGGATGTGATAGCTAATTAATTGAGGCCAAAAAAGGGTTAGGATTTTAAATAATCCAAATTTTTATGGAAACTAATGGACTTCTTATTTAATTGGTTTATTAATTAATCAAGACTAAAATTGATTTTTCATGGTAATGGTTAAATTATTTAATCCAAATTTTATATGAATAATTAATGAAAATTAAAGAGGCAAATCATTTTATTTTAGTTCAAGGTATTATTTTAAAATATTAAAATTGAATTTTACAAATATGGATTTTCGACATATTCGTGGGTAAATAGATTCTTACAATTTAATTGAAAAAATTGTCATTAGATTTTAAGTTATGATGAATATTTTTATTAAATGAATTTAATTTGGAAAAATTTTATTCCTAGAATTAAATAATGGTGGATCTAATTATTAAATTAAAAGAGCTTTCACATTAAATATCAATTAATTAACAATGCATAATATGTTGCATTTATTGCACTTGGAATGTGAGACATTTCTAATAATATTCTTGACCTATTTAGGTCCTTGGTTAGAGGTGTTACATTTAGTGAGGGTATTGTTGCTTGATATAATTAGGCCATATATTGTTTTTGTAGTTGTTTGGTTTAATGGATGATTTTAGGTTATCTTATTAGAGGATTTATGTACTTTGACACTCATTTCGATGGGATCAATCAAAAGCCGCACATGAGCTATTTGTTGGGTTCACTAGGAATCTAATGGAGATAGGTGAATACCAAAATAGGATATGTCATTCTTTATATGCTGAAGAATTTATTACATTGCACTTCGATAAATGTCTCTGTGGCCACAATAGGAGTATACTAATAGAGCATAATTGGTTTACTCTAAAGCTAAGACATTTAGAAATTAAAAAAAAAACTTATGTGATCATATTCAAACAGTACTATAAACCAAGTTCAAGATCACACTATGATAAATTGACATAGGGATCGAATTGTATGGTAACAATGCTCATGAAATGTGATTGTGGATTAGTTAATCCTCTTAGAGCATTGGGTAGTCATGATGCCTTACTAGAGGCCAATCTTGATTTACATATCAAGAGATAAAATAAGTATCTTTTATTCTTGATACATTGACAACATATCTAGGAGTCTATTAAGTCACATGTATAAGTTTAAGCATTGACAAAATAAAAGAGAAGCAAAGATTTTGAAAAAGATTTCTAGTTTTGAAAGTTTCTGTTTTGAAAAAGGTTTTCGAGAATGAAAAATTTCCTATTTTGGAAAAAGTTTCCTAAAATGAAAAGTTTTCAATTTTAGAAATCATTTTTCTAATTTGGAAGCCAGTTCTAAACTTGGAAGTAAGTTACTTAAAAAGAAAATTAGTTTACTAATTCGGTTTAAAGGTAATTTGAGAAATTGTTTCCTAATATGGGCTTCCTAAAAATATCTAACCCAATTTATTTGGATAGTCCAAATTAATTGATAATTAATTAGATCAAAAGAGTTTGGGCCAATAGACTTAATTTAAAAGCCTCTAAGATATTTTAATGAGAGGATAAAATTGAGTCCTATTAGATAAGGTTCATGGTTTATAAGGATAAGATAAAAAATGCTCGTCAATATTACAACTCATTATCCTAGGAGGACAAGGATGCCACCCTTATATAAATAAGAGGGAGGCAAGAAAGAGGAGATGACAAGAGAGATGCACAAAAAAAAAAAAAAAAAGAAAGAGTAAGTGTTTCTCTATCAAAAGATGGAGTTGGCCCATCCCTTCTTAAAAAGGCCGAGTTATCGCAAAAAATCAAGATTTGATTTCTAAAGAAAAGTTAACTATACGGAAGGATTGGAGCTAGCACTCTGTGATTTTTGTGGCTTCCTTTATGGGTTTTTAAAATGCATGGATTATCAATAAAGGCAAAACACTTATACAACTTTTTTTCTATAAAGGCTAAATTTGCGCTACTAAAGGTAATCCTTTACTCACACTTTTAATTAATGTATGTATGATTAGTTAATTTAATGGCTTGATCTTCGAAGCCTTGGATGGAGGAAATTTTTTTTTTATTCGCACCTCTATAAGATACACGATCCTTCATTCCGACCACTTTTAGGTGTGTGGAGCCCACGAGTTGTAAGAGGTCATGCTCTACTTGTTTGTGGTGGTGTCGGCCTTTGCATTAACGCGGAGGGAGATCGATGTTGATGAAGTTTCGATCTTCTCTTCAAATTTTTTTTTCTAACGTAGATTCCAATAAGGGTAGTCGGTTGTGAGGCTCAAAATCCAACTAGAGATGTTTCTAGCAGTCTATCGGAATGTTTATTTGGCTTTTAAATGAGTGATGTCGCTAGAAATGGTGATGGAGTCGAGTTGAGTGTAAACAGAGTTAGGTCCGGTCTCCTCTTTGATTTAGCCAATTTCCAATGGGATTTCACCCGGATTTTAGGGGGAAACAATTTCTAGGAGCATGAAAAGTGTTTCTATAATGGTGGAAGCTTCCATTTTTGTTGGAAGATGGCCAAACTCGGGAGACAATGGCACAGGTCGACCATGACAAATCTTGTCAATTTCTGGCGATTTTAAGTGTTTTTTGTTAGATTTTTTAAGGATTTTGGTCGGTTTTAGGTGATAAACACTTCTAGGTTGTTATGGGAGTTTGATTTGGCTGAAAATCGATTGATTTATGAGAAGAAATGTAAATGGGTCTAGTAGGTAAATGGGTTGGACATGTTGCTTGTTTTGTTATTAGGTGCCATTTGGCTTCTTCTTTTTCTTCTTGTTTTTTTTTTAATGGGTGGTTTGTGTGGAGTTTTTGATGGTGATAAAGGGTGGCTGGATGTGTGGAGGTCCTATGGTGGTCGTGGGTGGTCGGTTGCACCCTTTGGCTAGTAGGTTTCTTTTGTTTTTTCCGTGGTTGTTATTGTTTTATTGGAGAAGGTGATGAATGTAAGAAGATGATGAATAGTGTCCAACCTCCCAAAATGAGAGAGAAGATGGATATTTATAGGGAAAAGAAACAAACGGTTTTGGAAAACATTAATTTGAGTATCCGATTTTCCATGTTTTTCAATTTTTGTATAATTTGGTTTGTTTGAACTTCAATAACACCCTTTAATTACAATTAATTAGGACATCTTATTTTAATTTTCCTTAATTGTATCATTTCTTTATTTTAATTATGGATTTGGGATTTTGGATATTTCAATTGCACCCTCAATTAAGTTTTCTTTGGTTTCCAAACTTCATATTTCTTTTAATTAGATCCTCATATCATTTTTTTTTTCAAATAATTTTCTTTTTCTTTTTCTTTTCTTCTCTCTCTTATATTTTCTTTCTAAATCATAATTTTTTTAAAAACATTACGTAGGATAAAAATTAAGTGTTAATAACCATCATCATTGCCACCACTACAACTATCACCGCCATCTTCATTGGTGGTGGTACTACTTCCCAATAATATAGTTGTTTGATCTTTTAGATTTTTTCTATTTTAGGTATTTTGCCTAGTCTTCATTTCCTTTTTTTTTTTTTCATTAAAATAGAAAAATTATTATTATTATTATTATTATTATTATTATTCAATCACCACTTTTCTCTCGTAGCACTATTATTTTTATTATACAACCACTACCACCAACGCCATTCTTCATCCGTTGGTACCTCTCGTCGCAACCTCTTTTGGTAATGATATTAATTTTTTAAAATACATTATTATTATTATTATTATTATCCTTTTTTTACCCTACTATTATTATTACTACAATCACTATCACTTCTTTTTAATTATTATTCTTACTTGTATTAAAAAGATATTAAAAATTTTAAATTTTATTTTATTTTTACTATTATTCTTAACATAGTATGAAAATGTAAATATTATTCTGATTCTCTAATTTTCATTTTAATTCCTATACTTCTATTCTTAACCTTTACAACACTATATAATATGATCTTTGAATTGCCATAACGAAATATTTTAAAAGTAATTTTTGCCATTAGACCAAAACAAACCTAGTGCATAAAAAATTGAGAAAAGATACAAGAAAAAAAAATTGAGAAAAAGACATAATATTTGTGTGACAGTTTAATAACCTGTTCCAATTTTTCCTATTTCAAACCATATTTTTAATATCTCAATCCTTCCATGAAATTCCATAATCCTACCAAAGCATACCAAGATTTCCTTAACCCAACACTTCAAATCAAACTTGTCCTAATTTCCCCCTATAAATATATCCTTAATGCACAAAACCACAAATCGCAAACAGCACTAAACAAAATTATGTTCTTCAAATGCAACAATTACAATAAAACATACACCAAACATCCATTACTGTGAGCGACAGTTCCAAACCAATATGCTTATGAAAATTTAGTTCAAAAGAGACAAAATGTAAAACAGGTTCAAAGAGATAATAGATCTGTTGCCAGCCTAATGTTCTAGCGTTCATTCCTCATCCTCTTCGTCACCATCTCCACCAGCAGCCTTCTTGGCAGCAGCCTTCTGATTCTTTCTCTTCACTCTTCCAGGACGACCACCTCCAAACGGACTTGTGAGAGAGAAATCAATGTGCTTCTGGGAGTCAACCCTCACCATAAAAGATGGAATATTGGCAACCTGCCTTCCAACCCTGAGAATAAAAGAAATAAACTCAGCATTTAAAAAATCCACTAAACTCAGCATCTTCTAACAAAATTATCTCAAAATTATAGGGACTAAATGGTTGACCAATTAGTATTGACAACCAACAATTCTTCCGGAATGTGGCTTGGTCACATGCAATTTATCAGTGCTTAATTAGAGTAACTAAAAAACTCCCAAGAAAAGAAAATTGACCATTAAGGTCATACCAATGAATTACTAGTGTCTTGTATTAATCAACTAGTTCCTTATGGTGGCTGTGCCTCAATGCATAAAATGGCATTACTTAGGTACTTAAAGCATAGGTTGTGAGTAGGCTGAATTTAGGCTCCCAGTTTGAAACCAAAAAGGGTAAAGACAAGGGGTAGTAAAATATGTGCACTGCCAATTCCAGATGAGCTCACTGATGACAAACCGCTAAAAACATTGCCCAAAATTTTTTTGGCACTTCTCAAACTTTTTGAAAGCCTCGGAAACAATGGCAAAATGAAGTTAAAATTTTTTAAGAAAAAACAAAAGGAATTGGAATATAGAGTACAAGAAAACTAGATATGGGATGAATAATTGAAGAACTAAAAGTAAACTCTAATTAATAAAAAACCATATTCTAGAATTTAAATTACAAAAACTTTACTTTATCCACATTACATAAGTAAATTATATAACAATAAAAAAACAACAAAACAATCTTAGATGCCCTAACTTAGGAACATTGAAAGTTACTTTTAATTTTCCAATTTGATGATGGGAGTCTCCCATTCAACAGACGGTCACTCATCTACACTAGTAGCTAGAATCTAAATTAAAAAACAGCAACCGAAGAGGACCAATGAACACGGTAAGCAACTAAAGACAAGATGCAATATTGTTCAGAGACAATTAAGAAAACAATCAAATTGTATGCAGGCAAAATAAATAAGTGAAAACAATGATGTGTTTCTAGCAAACATAAAAATAACTAATTGTACCTAATGTGCCTCTGCTTGATGAGCACACGTGCATGGTGAATAGACTTTGCCATACCAGCCTTGAACACAATGGTCTGCAGGCGGCGCTCAAGGAAGTTCTCAACAGTGAGGGCCAGGACATAATCGAGCTTGTTCTGGTTCTCCTCCAGAAGACCATACCTGTTCATCCTGCGGAGAAGGGCTTCCCCTTCAAAAATTCGCCGTGGGTTCTTTTCATCCAATGTGAGAAGCATTCTTGCAGCATTACGGATACGGCTCAGGGCATACTGAACCCTCCATAACTCCCTCTTAGCACGGAGCCCATACTCTCCAACAAGCTTCAACTCTGCATCCAAACGCTCCTTCTCATATGGTCGACGTGGCTTCTTGAATGTCTTCCCATCTAAAATCACCCAAATTGCACATTCAAATGAATGCCAGGAAAAGAAGACCACCAAATTTAAAAGCCATCTTATGTTGCTGATGAAGATTAAAAGGGAAAACCAAAAGAAATGACCTTCTAAGATTTGTCATGATTGAAAAAATTAAATGAGCTACTGCCTAAAGTAAAATCTGTTAAAAATAACAGATCAATCACCAGGAGTTTCAATTTACTGTTGATGAAAAGAAAACATCTCTTGCAAAGAACGCAACATCAAAGAAAACTCAATATATTCTTGTAATTTGTTTTAATAAAAAATAATAATTCAGAAAATTAAGACATCAAGTTTCAAATTTAACATCCAGTGATAAAAATGCCGGCCTTCACAAAAAAAAAAACATTTAACACTCGATCTAAGAAGACCAAACCCATTATTATTACCAGTGATTACAAGAGCGTGTGATAGCAAAGGTTATCATAGGGCAACGGAGGCTCTCGTAGCATTATCTTGTAAAAGTTTTGAACTTTCAAAGTTAGGTATTCATTCTCATCTGAACACCCATACAGTAAGGATAATAAAATAAAACTGAAAACAAATCAAACAGAATCATATCAAATACCATCTTACAAAAAAAGATAATACATTTACTAGATCAGCTCCTGGTTATTAAAAGGAAAAAAAAAAAACGAAGAAAGCAACTAATGATATCCAGAAAATAATTATAACCAAAAGATATAAAGAAAAAAATAATTTCAAGATTCAATCAATGGATTAGCTTCTTGTTCGCATTACAAAGTACAACCGCCTAAAAGAGAGAGAGCATACAGTTTCTGTAGAAACTGACGTGAACCATGGTTCCGCCGGCTTGTCCTCAAGGGAGCAGAATTAGCGGGGATCAGCAAGGAAGACCTATTCTAGCCATTTATGTATGCAAACCCCCTAAACCCTATGGAGCCATGAGGGATGGAGTAGCATAAGCATACGGGCTTACCTAATCTAGGCTCCGTTTTCTAAAACAATATCATCGGTTCCTTTTGAGTTTTCTCTTAAGCTGACATGTCATTATTATTATTATTATTATTCAAAATAAGAATCCCTTCCAATGAACGAGTTAATTATAAATTAGTTATTCTTATTTTAAAAAATAAATTAATTAGTTTATTATTTTAAATATTAATTATTTACTCATTATATTTTGTAATCTATTTATAATTTAGTCTTTTTTTCTTATTTTTAATTTATTTTGATTTTTTATTTTAGGAGATAGAAAAAAGAAAAAATATATGAAAAAAATGTAGAAAGATTTATGAGAAAATTAGAGATTTTGTAGAATAAAAATAATGTTAAATTAATCATTCCCAACTCTAATTAAAATTCATTTGCACATGATAGTTGCTCAATGTATTGCGATGTCAAATACCACAATATTTCAACTTTTATTGTAGGTTACCATTTAGGGATATGGTAAAATGGTTTTGTCCACTTAAAATTTATTTGCACATGACAACCATTAGAGATCAAAAAATGAGGCAAAACAATCAAAACCCCAATTGCATTGTCAATCCAAAAATGAAGCCAAACAAGGCTTAAAAAATTCAACACCATAGCCAAACAATATCAAAACACCCTCTCTATCCTCCTCTAGATTATAAAAAAGAGAATGTGGATGATAAAAATGCCAACACAAATGTCACGAAGCTCATCAATTTATGAATACCTAAAATTGTTTTGAAAAAATTAAAGTAAATCAATGTGATGAGTCATTGGTCAACTCAATAATAAATTTAAGATACGTGATTCATAATTATGATGATGATTGTCAAGTATTTATGGAGCGTAATTGGAAGTCTTCTTGCATCATGTACTTGTAAAACAAGTTTTTCTAATTCGATGAGAGACCTTTCAAAGCTTAAGTTAATGGTTAAAAGGTGGCAAATTAGCCTTGAAAGGCTCATTTATGCTAGTATGTACTAGTTTGTGCGTAATTTAGTAAAAGAGTGGGAGATATATAGAATAGACTTGTTTAGAGAGTATTTTTGGAACATGTATGTAGTTCTTTTGATTAGTCGTTTGGCTTGAATTTGGAGTTATTAAGGGAGAAGGAGTATTGCGTGAATACTTTTCTTCCTTTTTTTTTTTTTTTATGTTCGTTGTATGTGTTAAACTTGTTTGTTCATCTCCTTTTTCTTTAAGATTTCTTTCCTTTACATAGATAGTACTGGAAGCTTTTTGCCTAATCAAAGGAGCAAGAATATCTATTCCTTCTTAAGGTTAGTGAAGAAGTCGACAAGTGTTGGTGTTTTGTTATCATTGTATTTAATCCTACGACAATATTAATGCAGTTGTAATGGTTGATGATATAACTAATGTCATCATTAGAGATTCTTCATTTAATGCTTAGGATATTTGGGTTTCCAAAATTTCAAAAACCAAATCCAATTTAGTTTTTTTTTATTATATCCAAATTTAATTAAAACCCAAATGAAATTGGTTTTTAGGTTTGATTTAGGTCGGATTTAAAAACTATTCAAACCTAGCACTTTGTACATCAATATAATGTGTTCGGAGGAATTTAATAAATTCTCCCATATGTTGGACCTAAAATTTGAATTTAGATAGTTAAAAACTAGAGCAAATATCTTTAACCACCAAACCAATTTTTAAGAGTAGGAGGCTTGTGACTATGATATACATAAATCTTAAATGTCTTATGAAATATGATTCTCTTTTATCCTTTAAATTTCCTTATTCTTCTTTTTTTGAGAATTTAATTAAAAATTATTATTTTACCAATCAAATCCATAACATTTAAATTTAAAAATATTAAACATTTTTACTTTTATTTAAATAACTATGTACATAAGGGTACAAATTATGGACACAAAAGTGTCCACACTCATCCATGTGGTAGAAAGACAAAAGAAAAGATTGAAAAACATGTCAAATGAATGATATATGTTTGGCCAACTATCTCGTTGTATTTCTTATTTTGAATATTTTAATTCATCCTTGATGGATGTGGATTGTTATTTTCATTTGAATTATTATTTTAGGTCCAAGTGAGTTAGGACTTGGTTAATTAAAACCTTAGTATTTTCGACTTGGGCTAATGTTTAGAGGCCTAAATTTCTTTTAGGCCTAAGCTGGTTTGCCCTAACTATATAAAGTTTTATGTTTTGCATCATCAAATAGTTTTGTTAGTTGATAAAAAAATTATGCATATAGATTTTTCTTTCTCCAAAATTGACATTTTTATGTCACATAGAACACTTTCTCATCCTTGGCACTAATCACCCAAATTGAAGACTCGATCTTGCATTCAAGAATCAAGATGGTGCATTTGTAGCTTTGGCTCCCGACGTACTTATCTTGGATATAAACTTATTTTCACAAGTAGATTTGATGAATTTAATTAATTAAAACTTTTTTTGTCGGATTGAATTTATCATTGACGGGTTTTAGCTAGTTCTAGTTTGCATAAAGCTAGGATTTTGCTTTGGTATTTTGGGTTCTAAAAAGGTGTTGAAAGGTTGGAATTTGGGGTTAAAATGTTTAGAATTATATGAAATTTTACCAATTATGTCTATTAATCATAAAAAGGATCTAGTTAAAATTTGGTGAAGTCTTGACAATGCTACCTTAGGTTTTGACATTACCCTACTTGTTATTGTTCTCGGCTTTTGTGTGTTGTTGTGTTATGGCTTGTTTATGCTCAATTTTAGGATTACTTGTTTGAGGAATTGCTACCAAATTATGTGTTGGTTAATTCATTATTGATTTGTAATCCGAATTATTAAGAATTGAGTTTTGGTTTGTTTGTGGTCGTTGGCAAATGGCTTGTTATGAATCTCAAGTTGATTGTGTTATTTTAGTGTCCTGTTGTCTTTGTGTTTCTTATAAGGTCTTGGATAAGGGAGGGTTTTTTTATGATTGTGCTTTTAGGTTCGGAGTTGTGATAGATTTATAGTGTCAAGTTGGTATCACAGACTCATATAGTTTTTATCTATGCATATTGACACTACTTTAAAGAAACCTCCTGAAGAGCACCATCTACACGTACAATCATGGTAAAGTTGTAGATACAAATGATATGAATGATGCAAATAATAGATGTAACATCCCGAACTCGTTATTAAATGAATTAAAATATATTAAAGGTATCTAAAAACTATTCCGTGGGTATATGATAATTACTAAGAGATTGTGAGAATATTTGACTTAGGATAATTTTCCTATGCCTAGTGAATATTTTATCGATTTTTCGATGCATGAGTAGTACCCTCTTATGTGAATTAATTATTTCAAGCATGTTATTTGTGAATCAAAATTATTTTGTTTGCATATAATATTTGGTAGAGGGGTGCTAGAATATTTTATACATTTAAATGAATTTTCTACGTTCGAGTTACTATTTTATTTGGACTTTTCAATGCATGACTAATGATTTTTATACAAATTAATTATTTTGAGTGTTTTAAATGTGCATGAAAATTATCTAATGGGCATAGAAAAATTATTAGGGAGGTGTAGGAATATTCCATGCTCTTAGGTGGATTTTTTGGATTTAGGGAATATTTTCTCGTAGAAGTAAGTGTATTTTTACACAAGATAATTAATTTGATAGCTTAAATATGTGTATAAAAATTATGTGAATAATGAATAAATTATTATAGGACATGTTTTAATTTGTTAAAAAAAGAAATTAATTTTTAGAAAGGTGTGGAATAAATTACGCATACATAGGGACGTAATTGCATGGAATTAGGGACTCGATTACATAAAATTAAAAATTTAAACTTTCAAATTAAATTAAGAATGAACTAGTGAAAGTAAAAAGTTGTTAGAAAATCCTTAAAGGAAGGGTCTAAAGGGATCCATTAAATAATTAAAAGGCTTATGAAAAAGTAAAAGTAGGAAAATTCCTTAAATTGGGGGACTAAAATTAAACAATTTTCGGAGAGATTTTTCTACCCATTTTGCCACCACTTAAGCCTCCATGATTAGGGCTAATTAATGAGGTTTGAGTAATGACAAAAGGAAGGGTTAAGATTAAGCTAGATGGATGGTTAACATTTAAATAAAAATGGAAGGCTAAGATTAAAACAAATGAAGGACTATGATTAAAAGTAAAATGAAGGGCTAAGATTAAAGAAAATGAAGGGCTAAGATCAAGTCAAACATGGAGAAAGTCTAGCTAAGCTCACCTATAAATATGGGTGAAAAAGATGTAGGAAAAAGGTTAGAAAATTGAAAAATCTAAGGGAAATTCTTGCAAAATTTCCCTAAAATTCCACATAAATTTTCACCTAAATAATTAAAGCACCCTTAAAAAGCTTAATTAGACCTAAAATCATAGTTGGAAGCTCAAGAATTTCAAGGAGGAAAAAGTTTTTTCTTGTGTGAAATTTTGGAGAGCAAAAAGGGAAGGAAAATTTTCAAGGGAAATCAATCCAACAACGGTCAATTTGTAGCTTTTTAGGTAAGTTAACTTCACCTAAATCATAAGGAATGTTTGATTATGGTTAATTGATTATTTTTTCCAATTTATTCAAGTTTAATTGCTTGAATTTTGAAAATTAGGGTTAGAGTTCATAGTTAGGTTAAATTAGGAAAAATATAATTAAAGGTGAATTTGATACAATTGAAGTAAGAATGTGTTAATTGAGCCTAAAAACTTATGTTAGAAATAAGAATTCCTTAGCTTAGTTCTTGGTGGACCATTCGGACCAATTTGGGTAAATTAGGGTTTTTGATTCTTTAGTTTAATTGATGAATTATTGATTGATTATTAGTTATTTAAGTGTGAATAGATGATTGAGCATGAGAAATTACATTAAAAATTAAAAATTTCAC